CGCAGCCCGCCTCGGCCTCCGCTCGTCCCGCCCCCTGGGCGGCTGCCAATCCGCGCTGCGAGGCGCCGATTGGCCGGAGCCCGCTGTTGCCCAGGAGCCGCGGCCCCGCCTCTGCCCCCCGCACCTCCCCGCTTCCCCCGCCCTCCCCCGGGCCCTGGGAAGGGGCGCAGCGTGGGAAAGGGATGGTTGAGTTTTAACCGGAGGCTGAGCGTGAGTGGGATCAGTGTGCGCGCACCGCCCGCAGCCGAGCGCCTAGCGGCCGCTGCTGTTAACTCCTCCCTGCCCGCCGCGCGACCCTCCTCGGAGCCCGCGCTCCGCCAGCATGAAGAGAGCTCACCCCGACTACAGCTCCTCCGATAGCGAGCTGGACGAGACCATCGAGGTGGAGAAGGAGAGTGCGGACGAGAATGGGTGAGTTGGCGGCGCCCGGCCGAGCCTGAGTGGGAGGAGGAGAGGCCGGGGTGCGCTGGTTCTCGCTTCCCATTGCCCGGAGTCCAGCAGCCCGGGGCCGACTGCTGCTGGCTGTGAGCGACCCCCCAGAGCGTTCTCCAGCTCAAGTTGCCAAAGAAATCTGAGTGCAGGGGGGCTCTCGGGTCCCCATCCTTCCTCAAGGCAATTGCTTCCTATCTTGCAGAAACTTGAGTTCGGCGCTGGGTTCCATGTCCCCAACGACATCATCCCAGGTTTTGGCCAGGAAAAGACGGAGAGGCGTGAGTAATCCCCCCCCCCCCCCATACTTTAAATGTGTATGCATATTGCTGTATTAGCTAACGGAAAGAACCAAGTTTCTTCTCCTTGGAATTTGCAGTCATAATGGAAATGTTCTTTGTTTTTGTCTGCTTCTCACAGATAATTGAGAAGCGCCGACGAGACCGAATCAATAACAGTTTGTCTGAGCTGAGGAGGCTGGTACCCAGTGCTTTTGAGAAGCAGGTAATGGAGGCAGTAGGTAGAGCGCCTGTTGTAGCCGTCTGCACCCTCATTCCCTCCCCTCCGTGCTTCGAACCTCATCCGTGTCTTGGAATAAAAGCCTTACCATGTCGCTGCACGTTCAGACCCAAAATTCCAACAGATTTTGTGGACACACCTCATTTTGCTTTAGTTGACGTTTGAATCTTACATATTTGTGCATGTGCATGCGTATTTTAAGCTCTCCAACGGCCCTGGTGTCAGATAAACCCTTTGTCATCTCTTTAGGGATCTGCTAAGCTGGAAAAAGCAGAGATTCTGCAGATGACGGTGGATCACCTGAAAATGCTGCACACTGCAGGGGGGAAAGGTATGCCTCTCCAGTTCTGGCTGGGGCTGTGCGTGCTCGGCGGCGCCGTGGAGGGAGCAGCAGGCGCAGTCTGGGATTGGTGCAGTCCCCGTCTGCTTTTGCTCTGGGGGTGGGGAGAGAGCGAACAGTGTGTGGTTGCCAGCCCGTGCACCTTCAACAGCAGCACATCGGCTCCTGGCTCTTGGGCAGTGAGTTCATCGCCCCAGCCCTCTTCCAACTGAACTAACTCACCTTTCAGCGAGTGTCCGAGGTCTCTGAGCTCCTCCCGTTGTGACAGCCATGATTTAGGTCAAGTCACTCACATTTGTCTGTTGTTATTTAAGAAAAGCTTGGGAAATGGCTTATTAAAAACAGCAGCTATGTAGTCTGAATTTTATATACAGGATTTAAAAAAACGAATTGCCAAAAGAATCCGGAGGGAAGGGACCTGTTGTGGCCAAGCAGAGGAAAATGCTAACAGAAGGTGGGAGACTGGAGCCTGTCTGTTTCTGTCTCCAGCCCCAAAATTCTTCACCAAGGACCAAGTGCCTAAAAGCTTCCCGATGATAACTTACATCTGTGTGTCTAATGAATTTCACTACTCTGTGGTTTCTCTGTCCTTGATGTATTTTTTGTTGTTGTTGAGGGAAAACATTAAAGGAAAGAACATAGTTTCATCTGCTGGTAGGGTATAATTCCAATTTCTGCTCAGCAGCTTCTAATTGGGCTTTGAACTTGCATTAGCAAACATATAATGTTGATTAATGCAAAGATTTTGGTCAGCTCCAAAATATTTGCGCTTCCAGGACCCATGGTCTGTGCTGTAACCCTGTATGTGTATTTGCCAGGAAGTGGAGTGGAAGAAATCCGGGAATGAGCAGCGCCTTGAAGGTTTCCTTTTGTTTTTGTGCTCAGGTTATTTTGACGCGCACGCCCTGGCCATGGACTATCGGAGTTTGGGGTTTCGGGAATGCCTAGCCGAAGTTGCCCGTTACCTGAGCATCATTGAAGGACTGGATGCCTCTGACCCGCTTCGGGTTCGCCTGGTCTCACATCTCAACAACTACGCCTCCCAGCGGGAAGCCGCGAGCGGCGCCCACGCGGGCCTCGGACACATTCCCTGGGGGAGCGCCTTCGGACATCACCCTCACGTCGCGCACCCGCTGCTGCTGCCCCAGAATGGCCACGGGAATGCTGGCACCACGGCGTCACCCACGGAGCCGCATCACCAGGGCAGGCTGGCCTCAGCCCATGCGGAGGCGCCGGCCTTGCGAGCGCCCCCTAGTGGCAGCCTGGGACCGGTGCTTCCCGTGGTGACCTCGGCCTCCAAACTGTCGCCGCCGCTGCTCTCCTCCGTGGCCTCGCTCTCAGCCTTCCCTTTCTCCTTCAGCTCCTTCCACCTGCTGGGCCCTACGACACCCACGCAGGCTGCAAACCTTGGCAAGCCCTATAGACCTTGGGGGACGGAGATTGGAGCTTTCTAAAGAACTGATGCCGTAGAGCGAGGGAGGGGAACGCGTAACATCCCAGGTGCGCTGGGACGGTTGCCAACACCACCTTAAAGTCGTCAGTAAAAGTAAGGAAAAAGGTACACTTTCAGATACATTTTTTTTCTAAAGACTAAAGGTTTGTTGGTTTACTTTTTTTCTTTAAATTTTTTTTTATCATGTCATGTATTAGCAGTTTTTAAAAATTAGTTGTTAATTTTTGTTTAAAGCATTCAGTTGAGGTAGTGATTATAAACCAACACTTCGTGATCCGTTGTCTGTTCTGTGCTTGGTTTACTTTTGTAAACCTGTCTGTCCAAGAATGATTCCATTTGCCTCAGTTTGGGGGATTTCAACATTAGTGTTTGGGGTCTGTTTTCTGGCTTGTATAAGTTGCAATCTTTTTTTTTAGGATTAATTTCCCAAACCACTGTGCTCAATGTTAACATGGTTTTGTTAATACTTTGACAGATTAAAGTGTATAAGTGATATTCTTTGGCGGGGTGGGGTGGGGAGGGGGTCAGCAAAGCATTATATTTCCAAACAAAGCGTTGACAAATCAGAGGAACAGCTTTATTCTAGAAACACTAGCTCGCTGCCTCTTGGAGCAGTGAGGTGAATGCACAGACTTCTCAGTGGTCCTGAATCCAGATGACCAGCTATTGTGGCCTGGCAGGCTTCGCTGTGCTAACATTTCAGGTTTAGAAACAGCCGCTGGTAGGCTCCATCCCCACTTGGAGTGTTGGCAGCAAGCAAGACAATTATGTAGAACATGCCTGCACTTTCCAGCCCCAAGCAATGCAATGCATTTTCAGTTCACAGATCTCAAGTTCACAAGTGTTAACCTGCATAAGTGATTGTAGTACGCAAGTAGTCAGTTCAGTGCCTGTTAAATGCATCACCTGATTTCCCCGGAACGGCCGTATTTTCTTTTAACTGGAAATTTTCATGTTGTGTTTTCCTTTTGGTGCATGAAAATGTGGTTTTTGTGATACTTAAAAGGGCTTCTCTGCCTTCTCTTTGATTTTTAAAATTTTGATTTGGGCTCTAGAAGTATTGTTTTACAGGTTTATTCCTTTAGCAGGTATAATTTGAACAGCCTCCACTGAGCTGGGTTTGACCTCTGTTGTACTGATGTGTTGTGACTAAATAATAAAAAAAAAAAAAAAGAACAAAAACAAAGAACAAAGTATGCTGCTGTGTCTCTCATCCTTAGCCTTTCCCTCTGTTGGTTGAGACAAATCTCAGGTTTCCTGGTTTTCATTTTGCCTAATGATTGGTTTTCTTCCATTGGCCAGTTTCATTATTCTTGGAATTCTAGGCTGTGTGGATTTGTAACGTCAAATGAAGTGTCTTTGTTAGACTACAGAGCTTTGCCTGGCCTCCCAGGAGGGAACAGAGCTTATCTGCTGCTCAGTCAGGTGGCCTGGTTCTGAACTCTCTGGCTCTGGACTCACGAGTTTGAATTCAGGCTGGCATCTGCGCTCTTGGAAGGAACTTGATAAAATCATTTTAAGCCGTGCTGATCATTTGATTAGAAGCTGCTGAACGCACCTACTGTGTGCTCAGTTCTTTGCTGGTAAGATAGAACATTTCATGTATCTATTTGTATTTGTTTTCATGGGAGAACAGGACTACAATGGCCTTGCATCTGAGCCCATGGAGGAGGCTTGGTGTAGCGTGGTGATGAGCAGTGCTCGGTGATGAGCAGTGGCAGGCTGTAATTCTGCACCTGCACAGCTCCAGGAGTCTTCCTTTCTGAGGAATCTATTTAACCCTTGGGCTGCACTGTGCTCCTGAGCTGTGTGTGAGGAAGCAGACACATGCTGTAAGTTAGAACACGATGCTACCATGACAGGCAGTCATTGGCCACAGAAGAGCGCCTTCAAGATCCTGCAAGGAAGGAACACTGCTTCTTTACTCAGCGGGAGTTTGCCTGGACCCCAAGAGTGGCAGAGAGGAGGAGAAGGCAAAGCCCACTCTGGCAGACGACAACAGAGGGCTGCTGTTCTCAGAGGAGCAACTGTGCTGCTGTCCCTGAGGAGAGAGCAAAGAAAACGCAGAGAAGTTTAGACTTTGAAACTGAGCAGTAGCTGCTGGGTCCCGGGAAGGATGGGAGGCGGGCCCTTGGGTTTCAAATGTGAGATGCTCAGTGACTTCAGCCCTAGGTCTCTCCTGAGATCGGAAGCTCTTTCTCAGCATTGCCTGTGCCGTGCAGACGCTCTGTCTGACACAAGCCTAGGATGGAAGGTGTTATGACGATTCTGCCAAGCATGTTTAAATTTAGCAAACAGGGCTTCCACTGGTGATACAGCATACTGAACAGCGCTGTGCCTCCTTCCACTCAGCTTGCTGGTACCTAGGCTTGGATGGCTGCTAATGCAGTTTGCAGAAAGAGCCGTGGACGTGTCACAAATCTAACAGGTCATCCTTGTCACAGGAAATGGCTGAATCATGATCTGGGAGGGAGCACTTTTGGGAAGGGCAAAAGGATTCATTTTCTTCTTTCTTTCTCTCTCTCTCTTCTCCCTTTCTCATTCCCCTCCCTCCCTCCCTCCCGCTCCCTCCCTCCCTCCTTTCCTCCCTCTTTTTGCCCAGGCTGTCCTCAAACTCCCTATGTGGAGGAGGCAGACCTTAAACTGCTGTTTTTTCTGCCTCCACCTCCCTAGTGCTCGGTTACTACATTGAGTAGTCAGTTTTGAAATTTCATAATTTTTTAAAGGAAATATCCTGCTCTCTCTCTCTCTCTCTCTCTCTCTCTCTCTCTCTCTCTCTCTCTCTCTCTCTCTCTCACACACACACACACACACACACACACCTTGAAGGTGGCAGGTTTCTGGGTGGTTCAGGTGGAGTGAGAAGATGAAATTCTGGCAAAGAGCCAGCAGAACTGTTCGATTACAACAATTCCCATTTCCATTTTGAATTGATGCACTAAAAATTAACAGGATCATCAGTTAATGACTCCAGTCTACTTTTATATCATATATGATTTTTATCCATCTACCGGCATAAACAAGAATTTCTAGATGACACATTAGTGTAAATAAACATCCAGTCATCTTTTTAAAGATTTATTTATTTTAAGTGTCCGAGTGTTTTGCATGCACAAATGTGTGTCTGGTGCCCTTGGTGGTCAGAGAGACCATTAGATCCTCTGAATTAGAGTTATGGATGGGTGTGAGTCACCATGTGGTGGTAGGACTCACACCCGGGTCCTCTGCCATCTCTCTAGCCCCTAGTATATTTACCTTATGAAAATAATATCATTGCTCATAATACTAATGAAAGTCCTTACTAATCACCCACTTAATTGATTAAATATATTCCTGTGAATTAATGAAAGCTGAGAGTTCTTGTATGAACTAGTCTCTATTAGAAAAATCCAAGAAATACCATTGCTAATTTATTTCATCTAGCTAAATTAGGATGTGACTTTTTATTCAGAGTTTCCCTTCCCCACTCTGTCAGTCACTAAAATCATGATATTTTAAATATAGATTACTTAAATTTAAAGTCCCACAGGAAATGTTCTGTCTCTTAGTTACGGTTTCCCCAGCCCTTCTGGTCTGAACCAGTACCACAGCTTTGATGCCTTCATTAGTTTCTAGTGCTGATTTATAATTAAAATAACTTCAGAGCCAACATCATCCAAGACATTGCTTCAAATGTGGCCCAGTTTCTTTCACAATCCAAGCTCCAGGGAATGGGGCATCTTGGGAAAGGGGCTTGAATCCTAGCTTCGGTTCTGCCTTTATCTAATTGAGTGACCTTGGAGAGGTCATTAAAATTATGTAGAGGCTCTTTTGGCCATCTGCCAAATGACTAGATGGGCAGTAAGGGTCCTAAGTGTCTGCTCACGGGGACATGTAGTGACTGGGGAGAAAGCAGGTGTTGGTCAGGTGACAGATCATAAAAGAAGGTTTTCACTAAATGTTCTATCAGATCTTGTTCCTACACAGGTTTGAATCAGTGCTTCCCAATTGTTGAAGTTTTTCAAAATTAAATTAATAATAATAATTATTATTGATTGCCACCTCCTCGTGTGTGTGTGTGTGTGTGTGTGTGTGTGTGTGCATGCATGCATGTGTGTGTGCATGCCTGTGTGCACCACAGCCTGAGTGTCGAGGTTAGAGAACCTTTATCAGACATTTGTTTGTTCTTCCCACTATGGGTTCTGGGTATTGAACTCAGGCTATCAGAATTCTAGGGCAAGCAAGTACTTTGAACTGCCAAGCCGTCTCACTGGTCCTGAGTCCTTAATAATCACCCATTTAATCGAATAAATATATTACTGTAAATTAATGAAATGAAAAGTTATAGAGTCTTTAAGACCATTGCTGCCTTTGGATTTCTTTGTGAAATTAACCATTTTTTTTTAATTGGTTAGCAACTTACTTACCAAAATCTATCTGCTGGCAAGACTGGGCCAGTGGGCAAGGGATCTGAATGGCTCTTCAGAGGGCTGAAATCTTCTGATATTTTTGTCATGTATATCTTTGAATGTGCCAAATGAGTCAGTAGAGGCTTCAAAAAAAGTAAATACTGCACTAATTATGCGTCTGAAGGTGATACCATGAGAAGATATGGCAGAGTTTGTTTTCTAGGCTATTTCATTTCCTCCAAGCAAAATAAAGTCAAGAAAAACAACAACAATAAGACAAATGAGAGCGAAACCATCTTTCTGTAGTGTTTGGACAACTCCCAGGAATCTCTCCTGAAGGTGCTCTCCCTGGGTCTTGGGTTCACTTTGCCACAGAGTTAACAAGATGCCGACATGGTAGCGTCTGGCAAAAGAGTGAGTGTGCAGCTGGCTTGTGACAAAGCACACGCATGCCCTGAACGGCATGGTTTGACTTCGGGGTGATTACATGAGTGGGTTCCTGATAAAAAGGATGAGTTCACCCCATTTTCTCTCTTTGAGGCACTCACTTCTGCCGTGTTATGTGAACAACACAAAGGCTTTCACCAGGTGACGTGTGTTTGAACTTCTTAGCCTGAAGATCTACGAGCCAAGCAAGTTTCTGTTCATAAACCAGCTGGGTTTTGTGGTATTCTGCTTTAGCAACAGAAGACAGATTAAGGCATGCCTGTAATCGAATTCAGCTGGCGATATGTTCCAAGCTTTCTCTTCCCATGAGGTCTTCCTTGACAACCCTTATTCAAACAGTCATCCCACTCTTCCCTTTCATGCCCCACCCACTTCCCTTTCCTCTTCGGTTCCTCTCCATAGCATTGCACTATCTGACTGTAGAATGACAATACACACTTTTTGGTGATTTGCTTACTGTATATTTTTGGCTGGTTCGTCATTCCCACAGTTCTGTCACTTAAAGCAGCACGTACCATACTGGAGGCTTTCGATAAACATTTACTGAACGAATGAATGAAGGATGCATGAATGGATAGATGGATGAGTGGATGGATGGATGAATGCCTGCATACATGGATGGGTAGATGCATACATGCATGGATGGATGGGTGGGTGAATGGATGGATGGGTGGATGCATGGATGGATGGATGAGTGTATATATGTGCTGTGGGATGTTCTGTATGGCAAATATGTTGCTCTGATTGGTCAATAAATAAAATACTGATTGGCCAGTGGCTAGGCAGGAAGTATAGGTGGGAGTAACAGAGAGGAGAAAAGAAAGAACAGGAAGGCAGGAGGAGTCACTGCCAGCCGCCACCAGGACAAGCAGCTTGTGAAGATGCCGGTAAGCCACGAGCCATATGGCAAGGTATAGATTTATGGAAATGGATTAATTTAACCTATAAGAACAGGTAGCAAGAAGTCTGCCATGACCATACAGTTTGTAAGCAATATAAGTCTCTGTGTTTACTTGGTTGGGTCTGAGCAGCTGTGGGACTGGCAGGTGACAAGATTTGTTCTGACTGTGGGCAAGGCAGGAAAACTCTAGCTACATATATGTATGTATATATGGGTGGGTGGATAATGGATGGATGGATGGGTAGATCAATGAGATGGATGGATGGACAGATGGATGAGTGGATGGATGGATGGATGAGTGAGATGGATGGGTGGGTGCATGGATAGATGGATGAGTGTATATATGAATATATGAGTGGATGGATAATGAATGGATGGATGGGTAGATGGGTGAGATGAATGGATGGATAGATGTTGACAGATTTTTCTTGGAGCTGCCAGCTCACAAAA